TTTCAGTCCCATGAAACTTTAAGCCATGGAGGGAGTTTTCTGTCCACATATTTCTCCTCTCCTGGAGTGCAGCTGCATAACTTGTCCATGCAAATAAGGTGTAAATTGCTTGTTAAAGAGATACATAAATAGAAGAGCTCAATTCCATCAGAAATTTGGAGAGTTTTACACAAAATGGCTGAATTTCATTCAAATCTCAACCTGGTAAGGGAACATCCAGTTTAGATTTCACAATAAACTGAGGCTGTACCACTGAATGAAGAGGTGAGTTTCAAACCAACAAAACAAAGCCACAAACAGCCCTGCTGAGCGCCCACATTTACAATTTCCAGCTATTTCTACACTCTGTAGCTTCAGAAGAACGATGGAAAGGAAGATTCCCAGAAAGTCTGGGATTCCCAGTTAGGATTGCCAGTGTTCTCTGACCCTTCCCTCTGCTCCCTGTATGGAAGACACAAGGTACCTGGAATGTAGTTGCTCTGGGGCTCGATACCTGCAGGGAAGTTAGTGTTCTCTGGGATGGAGTGGCTGTAGTCATCCAGGGGTGGGAATTCGGCTGGAATCTCCGTGTGCCGAGGCACCAGCACCGGAGGCAGCACTGGGAAGGGAAGACAGGGAACAGCTTTAAAAACAAAGTGAGAGTAAGAGCAGAAAACGAGGAGAAACCAGTTTGGAGTACGAGCTTTAAATACACGGAATACAAAGGGGCTCGTTAAGGGACAGGATTTGGTGTTTGCCTCTGGAGTAACAGCAGCAGGTGAGGAGGCTGTTTATTCCCAGCTGGGAATGGGACAGAGCTGATCTGAGCACATCTGGTCTCTCTGCTCCCTTGCAGCTCTGCTTGAAACACCATTTAAGAGACGGTGCACCCCACGATTCCCAAGGAATGAGTTTCCCAGAGGATGGAGCAGGCAGGTGGGATTAGCATAAACATCCTGCCTGGCTCTGCAGATCTGTGCTGACATGCAGCAGAGGCTCCTGCAGCTCCAGATCAAAGTCTCTTCCCGAGGCAGGAGGAGACTCCAGAACAGGAAGTTGGGAGCTGTTCTTAGACCCAGCTCAACAGTTAATCCTTAATTTAACCCCAGCAGTGAGAGATGCACAGAACACTGCTATGGTTCCTTCTGTGAGTTATGTGCACACAAGGCCACACTGGGAACCTGGAACCTGCTCTCTGGGGTTTCATTGATTCCCAACGGTGTTTTCCCTCTGAGTGCAGGTTCATAAAATATTCTACTCCATACAGTAAGGGATTACCACCAATAATAGACCCACTTTGGGAATGCCCTTGGAGATGCCTCCTGCTGCAGGAGAGGCTGAGGAGGGCAGGGATCTCCTGAGAACACCCTGGAGAGGCTGAGGAGGGCAGGGATCTCCTAAGAAGACCCTGGAAAGGCTGAGGAGAGCAGGGATCTCCTGGGAACGCCCTTGGAGATACCTCCTGCTGCAGGAGAGGCTGAAGGCAGGGCTGTGGTGCTACCTGGGGTCTCCACTCTCTGGTAGTGGTAGGGGTTGACACAGACTTCGTCCTTCTTCATGTTGAAGGCGAACTCGCACATCTCCATGGCGCGCAGCTCGTGGTGGCTGTGCAGGTCGGGCCAGCGCCACAGGCGGCAGTAGATGACGTGGGGCAGCCCCTTCCTGTGGGACACCTGCAGCCGCCCATCCAGTGACCTGCAGAGGAGCACAGTGAGGCTTGGTGAGCCTGGAGTTAACACAGGGCCACGGGGGTGGTTCTATCCCAACGCGGTCACCAACCCCCGGTGCTGCCAAG